GCGAGCGAGCAGGTGGGCGGTGATATTTCAGGGTTTGCGCGGTCGAAAATAAAGCGGAAATTGTTCGGTCGAATTCAACAAGCGGTCGCAAAAGCGAGAGAAAAAGGTGATTGGAAAGCGAAAGCGGGCGGGAGGTTGTGTGAAAGGAGTACTGTAACTTTGCACAACTTTCTTTTAAATCGTTTTATTTTCCAAGTCAATATTCTATTTTACTAATATTTATTTTTTTCTAACGCAATGGCGAAGAAAAGAAAGAAAGCGTTGACAGACGAGGCAAAGAAAAATCTGCCACTCAGTGTCGCACTCTGACACAGCAATTTTTTTTCAAACATCGGCCATTTTGTTTCACCATGAAAACCGTTTTATTAGATGTCTTATCTGAGACACTTGAAGGATTAGCTTGTTTGTAAACTTCAGCGTGTACAGTGGGACAGTAATGTTTGTCAGAGGATTATCCCTCGTTGTTCGTTTGCATAACAATGGAAAACCCGAACGTTCCTGGAGTACGGACTCAAATGCCAGCAGTTTTCTTCATTTTTCGCGCTCGAGCTTGAAATTATTCATTATCTGACACTCTTTATGAGTTCTATGATATCAGTGGTTAATATGTTTGGCCATTTTTAGTGTATATTTATAATGATGCAGCAAATCTACAGTGTTTTATTAACCAAAACTGTTTTTCGCGTTTTTCTCGAGTTGAAGTTTTGATCGAGAACGACTCATTGGGACCGCCGCCAAATCAAGTGCGTTCGGACTAGGACATTCAAACTCGCAGTTATCGTTCAAAAGATAATGATGGTGCGAAATATGTCTGGGTTTTTAAAGAAAATGCTTTGTCACAGAATAATAGTCTGTTAAAGGTGCCAAGTATGAAATAATTTGGGGACAAAAAAACAAACCTGCATAGAAATCGGAATAATAGGTCTTTTGATTATCGGAGACGCATTTCAATGGACTTGATTACGGACAATGCATAACTTAAATTTCACCAGGAAATTCCGCATCGTGCTCTCGCAATCGCGTACTTAGTCATTTTTACAAGGTTCGCCATTTTTGATGTCACGTGATAATTATGTAAACAATGTCTGTCCAGTTTGTGCGAACTTGCACCTCTATACTTAGTCTTTTGATATATATAACCTAAATTACTGTTCTGAAGGAGACAACAGACAGAGAATGTTTTATTTAAAAACGTCACAAAACCTTCTCGCTACCTTAAGGTACATCGATACGTTACTGACGTCATCCCAGATAGTCGTGTTTTGTGTTCAGCCTCTTGGCTGTTGGTGTTACCCCTAAGATTAGCATGATTTCACATTAGACATTATGACAATTTGTTTATTTCTTTGAATATTTTTTTAAATACACACTCACAGAAAAAAAATAATACTATGTATAAATATGCAAGGAAAGGGGAAATACTTGAAGCAAAGCTTGCAAAAAGCTTGTATTAGTGACAGGCTAGTATTGTCTATGATGGCACTTGCCAAGATTACGTAAAGAAATTTTCTTGAAAATTGCTTGAATAAGCATGAATCAATGCTTAATAAATTAGAATAATTTTTTTGGAGCTTATTTGAAAACTTGACGTTTATTTATTTCAAAAGAAACACATATCGGGTTTATGGTTACATGTAGCTTACTGGAATGTAAAAACAATTTTATTGCGTTTTGCTTATGTTTTAAGGATGCATTCATGTTTATTTATATGTTAGGAAACAGTTGTAAGTGTAAGTATAGGAAAAATTATCAAAATGAACGGTAACTAATTTTTTATGGCTAAGGTATGTATCTACCCGTGGAGGTAAAAAAGATCTTTTATTTTGTTTTACCTCCATGACCTTAAATGACAAATCTACAGAGTCCATCCACAGACACAAACTGTCTATTACCAAATTCTATCGTAAATTCGCCCATCCGAAAAATCGCCCTGGGCAGTTTCACAGCAGGTAGGCCCTCATTTGGGGTTCAAATTTTTCAAAAAATTATCATCAAATACTTTGAGGGGGCTTATATTTTCCACCTACACCGACTTTCAACGCCATCAGTTGGACCACTCAAAACGAAAGAAACTATTGCAGTAGCTAATCTAAAATTGTATACATTTTTTTCTAGCTGGATTAAAAAGTAGACCGTGCATCTTTCTCCAAAAAAATCACATTAATGACCCTTGTGCGCCAAATACAATTATTTTGTTTCATTTTATTTAGTAACATCTGTCAAAATTGATATTTTTTTTTACATCAAGTGGTTTAATTTATTGGTCAAAATAATTCAAGAACATTGATATAGTACTTGTACACAGTATTTGAGGTTGATGTAAATATAAATGTTCTAAGGATTTTCTTCGAAAGGTTTGATTGATTGGTATGCTAATTATATGCAAATTATATACATGCTAATTATATGCAAATTAGTGCCCCTCTTTAAATTTTATTTGTGGAGAACACTGCTTCATATTTTGATAACCCGCAATCTGGCAGACTTTACAAATTTAACCAAAAAACGTTGTTCCCCATGTCATATGAACTGACAAGTGACATGGCACAAAATCATGATGAACCAGTTACCTCCATGGATAACGATATATTCACTGACTGGCTAGTATTTCCAATTTTTGGTTGTTCTATTTCTAACTTTATTTGACTTGATGCACACATAAAATACAATGAAGTAAAATGATATAAAATAAATGAGATATACAATATCTTTTCTTTATTGTAGCTATTGCATCACAGTGTTGGGGAAACTAGCTATTATGCAAATTTGATGTATTGTTATGCAAATTAGCAACAATGCTTTGCATGGAGTCTGGGGAGAACTCTGACAGGTATAGTGTATGAGGTCAATTTGATCATGTGCTGGCCATGCTTGTTAAAACATTGTTTATTAGTATCTAAAGATGTCAGTTTTCCCCAAAATAAGAACATTAATAACAAAGAATTTGCAGTAGATTTGGTTTTCAAACTAAATTCATTGTTATTAGATGAATTTCCAATTTTGGCATGCGTCACATGGTTTGTCTGTATTGTTTGTTGATCTTCATGTAAACTTAACTTATGCAATTTTGTTATTTCAGTTTGGGGCAATTTGCAAAGATGTCCGAAGCATTTGTTGGCTGTGTTGTATCTCTACACTGTGGAGATATTTTAGGCACATATCAAGGCCATGTTTCTATGGTGGATAAGACCCAGCAAACGATATCTCTCCAAAAAGCATTTCGTAATGGAGTGAAATGTACTGTTCCAGAACTGACTATCAGGTATACTTCAAACATTGGTCTGCTTAGTAACTTAGGGATACATATATGCTGTGTTCAACCTGTTATTTAGTCTTTGACAATGATCAATATTGGTTTCAATTACAGTCAAACCTGTTATAGTGGCCACCCATGGGACTTCAAGATTTTGGCCTTTATAGACAGGTGGCCTTTCTATACAGGTTTACTAATTTATGCATGAATATTAATTAGGCATTGAATTAATGTATTAAAACAGATCTCATAACTCCATTTGACACACACCATCACACTACTGTACACAGTATTCGAACACTTTATTACAAATAAAAAATGTTGATTTTTTATTAGTCCCCGTTCGGACAAAGTCCGAAAACGGGGACTTATAATTCGGTCTTCGTCCGTTCGTTGCGTCCATCCAGAGTCATATCTCAGAATCCCTTGGACCTAGTACTTTATGTGAGACATATGCACATGCAGTGGTTTAGCGATTCGATTCAAAATGGCCGACTGGCAGCCATCTTGCAGGGTTCTCCACGGTTTGAAAATTAAACAGGGCGCGCCAATGTGAAGTGGGCGTGGCACATTTGTAACGAGCATCATTGGCAAGGATGTTGAAAAATGGAAACCAAAAAATCTATTAATCTACATATTATTACATATGCATAATATATATTTATTATTACAAAATGATTAGGAATTTTGAAGAGCTATTATTAATTAAACGTCAGCACGTACAATCAGCTGATTTTAGCTGCACGATTCCTCAAGCGGCGACTTCAGTTGTTTACAAGTAATGATCGTGTCCAGAAAAAGACGTAACAAGTTTGTTAATTTATTTTCCCAAATAGATACATACATGCTTTATTTAATTTTTATCAAAAATTTATATTTATGATTTATATTTGGACGAAGCAAAATAAAATGTATGTCGCACAAACATTCGTAATTGGTTCATTAAAAAACCAAGGTGATCAAACGAAATAAAATGTACACAATAGAAGATTTTCGATCTGCAGTTAAGTTACTATCAAAAATAATAGAATTAGGTATAAAAAAACAAATACATACTTAAAAGAATAATTTTCATTAGAATCGAAAGTTTGTTGATTTCTGCTTCGTTGAAAACAGCTATGACCCGGAAACAGTTCATTTTACTGTGTGCACCCTGATACTATGTAACGATGCTTTTGATTGGCCAAAGCATTGACGCGAAAAACAACCAATCAGAATATTTGTTATAAAAGAACACAAGTAAATTTATTTCCTCCACTTATGATGCGAGTTGAAAGCATGGCCGTTTTACCGGGGTTTTTAAATCGTGATTTAAAGAA